ACCTTTCAATCAGCCACGTTAAAACTTAGCTTTTTATTGTTATTTTGCTATTATGTGAAAGCACTTCTAAGGACAGTGTCCCAAAGAAGGAATTTGAGAAGTTGCATAGCTTTATATCAAAGATTTTCAACCAAAGTCTAACATTTAAAACATTTTTGCCATGGGGTTTGTATGGATATTTATGTCTGTGTACAATATTAGTAAAAACAGCAACAGATACTAAATACTGCCTATTTACCTTTTTGCAGTCAGTCCTGATTTATACAAATGTATGCAAGTCTGACGAGGAAAAAATATCAACCATTTTGCCAAAATATAAATGGCTTGTCCTGATGTATTCAGGCAGGCTTGTTCTTCTGGCTGCAAAACTGACAGTTGCTCTTTTCCCCTCAGTCTTGTCATCTGGCAAGTTTTTTCAAACAGATGGGGAAACTATATGGCATAATATTGCAGGTAAAAAAAAAGAAAAAAAAACCCTGCACTAGAACAGGGCTGTTCTGGGGTATCGAGAAAGAGAGGGGAAAGAGCAGGTCTTGTTTGTCAAACTGATAGGACAACTAATCTTCATCCAGCTATTTGCTCAAGTGCACAGTAGGGAACAGAAGTTCATGTGGTTATTTGAGGTGGGGAATTTTAGGTAGCTAAATATTTGAAGGGAGAGTTAAAAGAAGGTTGCAAAGCCGCAGGAGTGGTTATCTTGTAAGGATAATGGCTTGTATAATGTTCTTGGAAGTTTATGAAAAGGGCTGATTGGTTAGTATGTTGAGATTTCACCTTTACTAATTATCCTAGTGTAGATGGATAAAGCTAATCAAATGCTCTGAATTTTAAAATTGTCCTTGGTGACATGAAAAGGGAAGTGATAGTGATGCTTTGGTACATTAAACCACGGGTGTTCAGTGCATTCAAGAGCATCAGCTGTGCGTATCTTATAGCAAACCACTTCTATTGTCAGGCTTTTATCTTGAGCCCTGCTTCTGTGTTATCTGGATCTCCGAACTCGCTAAATGCCCTTTTCTGGTCTGAGATCGTCCCCCCTATCTTTCCCCTGGAACCTGATTTTCCATAACCTCAAGGCCACTGAAAAGCAGTGAGGTTGTGGCACCTCTGAAGCTGAGAACCTGATACATATGGGCCAGAACTGTAAATCCCAACTGTTCAGCAATTCCTGTGTTACCCAGTCCTGGGCTAATGTCACAAAAGTGTCACCAGACCAAGGAGCAGTGGTTCCTGACACCACTTTTCTCCAAAAAGGAGTGACTCGAGACTTGCCAACAGCGAACAGAAATGAGAGACCGGGCAAACCCGTGGTGATGCTGTAGGTCTTTGTTAGGTTTAGCAGATGGAGAAGCTTGGGGTGTCAGGGAAAATATGAAACACTTGTGTGGTATCCTGGTGTGGAATTTGAAGGGACACAATCGCTTGCAGCTTGGCCCAGTGTTTTAAAGGAGAGTATTTTTAAAGCTGACTTCTAAATAAAAGCATTTCCATGCCTTAAATAAAAAATGTGCTGGGAGCAGTTCTAAGCCAGCCTTCTCCTGCAGTGTTTTCATGTGATCCAGGTACCGCAGTGGAGCTTAACTGCAAAGCTGCAAACTGAGACCCCGACCTGCAAGCAGCTCAGTGCAGGACTTGGCACTCGGCACTTCCCTGTACAGGATCCCCAGGGGTTCAAAATTAAGGTTTGCAGTGAGGAAAGCACAAGAAAAAGTAGTGGCCTGAATGATGATGATAAGAATAGTGCAGGTTTTCAGAATTCAGTTTAGTTTCCTTTTCTGTCATCAATTTGAATACTGTAATTGGAGAGCTGAAACTGTCTCGGAGCAATAAGGTGGCTTCCAGACCATAGAGGGGAAGGTGCAATCTGACAAACTCCATTACAAATTTAGAAATCCACGCCATAAGACAGCTGAAGACAGGGTGATTAGAACTGCAGGGCCAAATTGATAATTGGCTATTAGATGGCAGGCAGCACATCTGTAAGAACAAAGTATAAAATTATAGATCTATCTGCATAATTTTTGTGATTCTGGTGTCATTTTTTCACATGTAAAATGGCATAATTTTAGTGTTGACGTATTGCGATCTGTCATGGCTAAAATGGCATAAAATATTCCTTTCTAACCTCGGCATTTCATCAGGAAGCAGTCGTAAACTCTTCATGATGCTGATTTTCATTTTGCACATCTCAGCTCCATCCCCTTCAACGCCAGCCTAGCGTTTGGAGCCTCTACCATACAAAACTCCCTGAAGAGAGATCATGGTCCTCTGTACAGTGTATGTAAATGTGGAATTCCCACTATTAGAGACCTGATTAATCTCTTTAGTGGTTTGGAAGACGTACTGCTAAATTTGGATCGGAAAGACAGCTGCTGAAAGCCAAAAGGGGTAGAGTGGTGCAAATGCTTTTGGCTTTTCAACTTTTCCAGTTGCTGCATCAGGGGCCATCATTAGAGAGGGGCGAGCTCGATGCCAGAAAATGAAAGGGTACCACATCATGCATCTTGCTTTCCAAACAGGCAGGATTTAAAAGCAGCGAGTGAATTTCTGCTCACATAAAGGAAAAATGACAACCCTTTGGTTCGTCTCGGCAGCTTATCCGATTCCATCCATCCCTGTCTGGCTGATTATCAGCTGCAACGTAACAGAGGAGGAAGGTTTAAGACATTGCAGCCAGCAAGGCCACTCCAAAAATCATTTTATAATGGAACTTTTTGTAATGCTGTGACAAATGCAACTTCAAAATGGTTGAACAGGCAAAGGAAGAATAAAGTTATGTACTCGGCGCTGGGAGTCCTGTGCAAAGTGAGTCACTGCGGGGTGTCTGCGAGCAGCCCTCGTGCAGTCCCTCCTTGTGCAGGGAGACAGGAGAGCAGGAGATTTCCCCTGGAGAACCGAAGCAGCTGCTGAAGGGAAAGCCAAGGTAGTTTTCTTGCCTTTTTGGTTTCCTGTATACTTGGAGGAAGAGAGCTTTGACCTGCTGGAATGGAGGGGTTAACAGTGCTGCGGGAAGGAAATAGCTAAATTTCAGAGTCAGCTTAAAATTAGGCTGATTCAGAATTGCAGCGTTATGACTTTTATGCAACAAAATAATCATCTCCACATCCTCTCTCAGTGCAGGCCCCTGTGTGCCAGAAGGGTGGGTCCTCCTTCCTCTCCGCACATTGGAGAGCAATGAGCTGCTCTTTGCTCTCCAAGGCAAGCCCTGGCGCTGCAGGAAAGCTGTTTTTGTGGGGCTGCCACCTTCCTGCTCTCAGCTTCAGTTTCAAGCCCTGCAATGTAAGAGCAGTTGCCTGGTGCCATCAGAGGGTCAAAGATTCCTTAAAGACCTTTGTGATCTTAGTGAAGAGTGAGAACTTCTCACTTAGGATAGAGCTACCTTGGAGAAATCCCAAAGACTTCAGCAAAATGAAGTGAACACCCTGAGCCGAACGACTGGGACTTGTTTGAGTGAGTTTTGGGGAAGGTTTTTCCCCTCTGGGTCAGTACTTAGTTTCCTCAGAGCACTGGGCTCTGTGACTAATTCACAGTACAGCGAATGTTTAAAGCCTGCGTTGGTTTTGCTTGTCCAACATTCCTTCTTCTGGTGCTGTTGGAGGCTAAATGTTATCAAGCAGCTCAGCAAATGTTTATCCTTGTTCATATGACCAGCCCTGTGAAACTTTACTTTGGAAGCTGGATGTTTAAAAAATAAGCAATGTGGTGATGTGGCAGTTCATGTGTGTGTGCTAATTAAGGAGGATGCTGCCAGAGGCTCGCTATGGCGAGAGTGAAACACAGCAAAGCAGGGAAGGGATTTCTTGAGTGGAGCATTTTAGAAGCATCTTCGCAGAGCAGCGGTGGAGAACACTCTTCATTCTCTAAAGCCACCTTCTTCCCTTTGCTGTCTGACTTTTTTTCCAAAGAACGTGTCAAAGAACATCCAGGTCACCGAGATGCTGGGCCTGAAGCTGCTCAGAACCAGGCTTTGTGGGTTTATAAAAGGAAGCTTTATTTAAGGTACCCCGTAGGGATGACAGGTCCTAGTCTCTCCTGGCTGAAGAGAGGTTTCTCAGTTTAATTTTCCTTATCACCCGGAGCCAAAGGGGCAGGAGGACAGAAAAAACCCTCTGCCTGTGTGAGCCTTGGAAGTCACAGAGCCCCTGGCCCTGCAGGCCCCGGGAGAGGTTAATGTGTCCCCAGCCGGGGGGACACTCAATGGCCCAGGAGGAGCTGAGCAAGTTGGAAGGGATCGCTCGGAAATCACCCGCCCGTGTGCAGGGCGCTCTCAGGAAAGCCAAATGATGGCCCTGCTGAGTTTCCATAGGAAGGTAACAAGCTGTCCTGTCCTCCCTCTTCTTCCTTTCGCAGGGATTCCCTCGGTGAACCCAGGGCCGGGTGCCCTGCAGGGCTGTTCTGCCAAGGTTTATGTGTCCCAGCTGCCAGGGGGCAGTCGGGGGGGTGTTTTTGCACTTTGCTAGAGTTTCAGTGCAGGCATCATAACAATAGGAAAACTCAGAAGGTGAGAGCCCTCTGCCTAGAGATACACTGGCTTTAGCTGTTATATTTTTATCCCATTTTAATTACCATTCTGGCATACTGGCAATTTCACAAATGAGCTCAAGAATTCAGAGATGGAAGGGTCTTTCCAAAACTCCCAGTCAGGCGTGGGAGAAGCCCACTGGGAGCTGGGATCCTATAATCCTGGGAGAAGCCCAGGATTAAAAGGAAAGTATTTGCACAATATACTGGATCCTGTCGTACATCTGAACGACAGTCAGATGTATGACAGTCCCGAGTTCTGCAGCAGAACCAGTGGGTTTGAGACTCCGCAGGGAGGAGCTGAATGTGGCCTGAAGGAGTGTTTACCGTGTGCTGTGCACACTCTGTTTTCTTGTAGCTAATGGGCCATTTGTTGCCAGGTTCAGCATTAACTGGAATGCTTCCAACCCTTCCCGCAGCCAAAGCCCAGAAAACTTTTAGCTCTGTTATGTGCTTTAATTCCAATTTTCTTTTCACAGATGATGAAATTTGCTTGGGATAACTACAAACAATACGCACTAGGAAAAAATGAACTGCGACCGCTGACCAAGAATGGCCACATCGGCAACATGTTTGGTGAGTCCTGCATCCGTTTTGGTGCAAGTTGCTTTTTTAAAATCCCGTGTTCATCCAGGTGCATTTTCTGCAATGCAGAAAGGTGTCTGCAACATCTTTGATCTCTTTTCTCTTTTTGAGTTTTAAGGTGCAATACTTTCAACACTTGCTTGCCCATGTCCCTTTGCTGGGATTCTCATTCCTATAGATATATTTGAAACCCACAGCTTGTCACTTTTGTGTACAGCTCTAGCACCAAACACGCCTGAGAACAATGCTAAAACCAACCAATGTCTTCATTAAAACATGAGGCCAGTCCAAACCCGATGTGGCTGCTATTTGTCTAAGCTTGTACACGTCAGGACCTGACCAAAGTGAGCATTTGCTCTCTCATTGCTTCACTGTTGAGCAAGATGCGAATTCCATGAAATATTGAATGAGTGAATCAATATTAAAGGCTCTTTATACTGTGTGCTTACTGGCTTGTATAATTTTACTCTTTAGCAGATTTTTTTTTTTATATGTGAACCACTTGCATAATTTCAGTGCTATTCCCTTGCTTGTTCTGGTGGGATACTTGTTGACTTTTTGGAATATAAGTTGTCTTTTTCCTCATTTGTATTCAAAGCATTTCCTGCTCACTCTGCCCTAGCCTGGTCTTCTCAGCACAGGCTGTGCCGAGCATGGGGGAAGACCAGGAGAATCTGCTTTACCACCCATTCTTTGGGAGGAGACAGGGTCTCTTCTTGGCTTCTTTCAGTTGTACTTTGCTTCACAGACATCTCCCAGAATCAGATGGAAGTAGAGTTCTTTAGTGAGCAAATTATCTGCAAACTGTGTTTCCCCAGGGGAAAAAGCAGGAGAAATGCAAAGGGATTGGAGTGGCACCATCTGAAGGAATGCAGAATCCCTGATTGCTGGAGAGCAGAGCCTTGCAGCATTCCCTGCTCTATCCCGGGCTCCATGTGACCAGCTGCTGCCCTTGCCCTGTCTGGCTTTGCCAGGAATGGCAATTTGGGCTTGTCCTTTTGCCTTCCCCTCTCTCTATCCCAAGAATATCCCAGTTTCTTCCTTAAGAAGTTGCATTAACTGCAGCGTTTAGTTTTTGCTTTGCAACTTCTCCATTCTGGCAAGCTTGTCAAAATTCCTCAAGGAGCGTGCCTGTAAACAGACAAAAATATTGAAAGCTTTTAAATGCATTTATCATGCTGAAACAATTGGCACTACTTATGCTTGTTTGTAATGTGTCTGTGAGCACTCTCAAGGAAAATACTTTGGAGCACAAGAGTTTGCAGACAATTGCAGAAGAGAGGCTACAAAGTCTCTTAATAGACTTTTCCCCTTTCTGACTGTGGCTAGTAAAGAACTGAAGCGTTAGTCAGTCTGGTGCTGCCGCCCTCCATCCCTCTTATCTTCAGAGGCATTTGGAAATCAGGATAGGGTCATGTTCCCCTCCCTCAGTATTGCCTGTTCCACATCCTGCATCATGACATGCCTTTTTGTTCTGAACTCCAGGTGCAATGTGGGCAAATCTGGTCTTCTCCGGGCTGGAGGTGTCAATATTAAGCTGTAATTTCCCTGCAGCTGCTTCTGTGTGGGAGAGAGGGAGCCTCTTTGGGGCTATTTTCAAATATGTTTGTGTGAATGAGAAGTAATCAAGTTCTTGAGGGGTGATACATTTTCCTGTTGTGGATGTGATGCTCACTTGTAGCCTGGCCTTCAGTTTAGCAGATTCACCCTGAGGAAGGGAGTGAGCTGCTCTTTCTCAAATATTCTTTCTAATCAAAATAGAAATGCAAAACAAACCTTCACCTCCCACTCTTTAGTAGCATTCTGCTCTGTTACAACAGCACAGCCATAAACTAGCAGCCCTCCCTGCATCCACTCGGATGGCAGGAGAATCCCAGGCAGCCAAACTCCTCCTGTTTCTCCACCCTCCTTAATCTGCTTTGGATAATTTGTATTCTGCTTTATACCTGTCAGCAGAGCAGCAGGGCTGCACCTGGCTGTGCCTCTGCTCCACACTGGTCGCTTGGTCTTTCATTCCTGTTTTAACTGATGCTCTCCAAGTCATACCCTGAGAGCATCAATTGCAGCAGCATTTTCTGGTGTTCTGGACATGGTTTATTTGTATAAAAGTCTTGTGATTGCTGTCATTTATAATCAATGCAACTTGAAAGCCCTTTCTTCATACCCATTAACCACGGTTCTTTCATAAAGATTATTGGTTCCTCCGTGATGCCTGTGATAAGCAGTGCCACACTCAACATCCCATCCTGCCATGCGTCGTGGTGGGGCAAATGATTTTTAGAACTTGGCTGTTTCGTGTGTGTGCTGATGTCCCTGCAAATGAACACGAGGAGAAGGGCCAAGCACCCTGCTGAGGAGGAAACGGGAGCTCAGTTCGAGTAAAACCTGCCCCATGAGCCTTCTGTGTGATCGTTTGGTACAGGTGCAGAGTTTGGATAATTATTTGCAGAATTTCTCTCCAAGCTTCAGCTGACCTGAGGAGGACCTGCAGGGCGCCTGGCCGCTGCTCGAATCGGCCCCAAACGTGTTTGTTTGGGAGAGAGATCTGAGGAAAAGGCTGGATGAGCCTGAGGTCGGGTTCGCAGTGAAGGGCGAAGGCCAGTGACTGGCAGGCACATATTTTATTCCACATGCTCATCGGGCTCTCTTAACCCTTCCTACCTCAGCATCTCAGCTTTCCTGCCTTCGGAGAGCACGGAATTAACTGCTGTTTGAAAAGTGTGTTGAATTCCTTGGAGCGAGGCTCCTAGAGAGGGCGGCCGCGTTGGGTAGCGCAGTGCTCGAAATGCCCCTGTCACTGCGATATCCAGCGCCAGGAGCTGAATTACTATTCTGCCCGCTCCCCGGCTCTGTCATAGCCACTTATTTTTCTGACAAAATGTTTTTAAAATCCTGTTAGCTTTACGGAGTTTCTGCGGCTATGGGAGAGTGAGCTGGCATCTATTTCTGCTCATGCATCAGCCGAATTGTCAGTTACATTTTGATTGCAGAGTCTTTTAACAATGATAAGGTAAGAAGCCTGATTTTCAGATATCTGATGAAGTGTGCAGTGCTGGCAGCAGAAGAATCCTTTTTTGACTTATAACCTGCACCAATTTGCTTTGAAAGCAGTGACAGCAAGTAAATATGGAACCTTGCTGTGTTGTTAGACAGTCATTTTTCAGCACCTAGCTGCACAATACTATATTAATTTTAGCGTAAAATTCACATTCTTAGCTAAGTTCACATTCTTAGCTGAGTTCCCCCCTTCTTTTTCTTCCTCTCTCCCCCTTAAAATCACACCCAACACTGGGTTGTCTTGTCAGAGCCACTGCTTCTACCGGCATTGCTGAATTTGTGCATCTTTGTGAGGCTCTGCAGGAGGCTCTGAAGTGAATCTGGGTGACAACTGTCACATGTAGGACACAGCCAGGTCCCCAAAGTGGATGGCAAAGCCGTGACAGCAGCTGGGCCTGGGAGGCGCGAGACTGTTTGATTTCATCCTCAAGGACGGCCCTGCGTCGCCTTCCAGCTCGGGCAGCGGCGCCGGGGCGCAAAGGGAGCCTGCGCGGCCGCGGTGGCGGTTCCTGGAAGACGAGCGGGCTGTGTGAGGCTGTTTGTGTGCACAGCCCGGCCGGCGGCCTCGGCTGCCCTCACAGCTTGTTCAGCAGCCCGGAGGTCGTTGCTCTCGGCTGCTCGGAAATACGGCTCTTTTGGCTCTCTGAGCTAAGAAGAGGTTGAAGAGGCCAGGAGAGAGCCAAACTAGTGCTGATGTGGGTGTATAGAGAGGCCCCTAGAACCGTACGCAGCTGTTTGCACTGCGGTTCAGACTCCTTCAGTTTTTCTCCCCATAACAAATGCAGTGTAACCGGTACCAGCCCTGCCCGCCGCGCTGCCGCCTGCCCGGGGCCTCGTCTGGATGTGGCTTTGAGTAACTCCGCACCGGGGGATGCCACCGGGCTCCTTCCGTGTGAGCGTGTGGGCTCGCTCACGGCCAGCTCCCTTCGCGTGGGTGCCAACGGCTCCGCGTCCCCGGGGCAGGCTCTGCACCCGCTCTTTGCCTGCCGAGCCAAACGTTTTACAAATAACGGCTTCCTTCGTCATGGGTGATTTAACTAGGAAACCAGGAAGCAAGCAAGGAATGCACCCACCTCAATTAGGAGCAATGTGAGTTAACGGGTGAATATTTGACTTTGGAAAGGTAACCGGGTGAAAATATTAATTTAGCAGCATTCTAGCGACCAGGGAAGAAAGGGTAACCTCCAGTTGTGCAATGGCTTGGCGTAGTTTTCATTCTACTTATGTGTCTCTTTCACTGTGATCACAAAATTAGAAAGCCCTGGAGTGTCCTTTTATGTGATTAAAATAATAATAATAATAGTTCTCTGAATTTTATTCCTGCTGCCTATTGCATGTGACATGACAGATTGCTCCATAGGCTTTTTAAAGAAAAAAAGCCTCCACCCTCCACACTTCTATACGATAATGAAGATGTTTCTGTTCCTCTTTGAACACGGTTGTTCCTTGGCATTTTTTTTTCCGTTTCTCCTTTTTTCTTTTCTTTGGTAGTGTATTACTCAGCTGAATATTACTTGATAGAAGGACATCCTGAGTTGACGTTGGCTTTTGCTGCCACTGAAATCTGTAGCAACAAACTTATTTCCTGTCAATGTGAAGCAGTGAATCAGGGTATCCTCCAGATAGCCAAGTTGTTGGAAATGGGCTGCATGATTCATGTCAGAGCTGACATTTATCCCTGTTGTATTTTTTTTCCCTGCCTTCCACCTGCCACAGATGGCTCCTTGCAGCCACCAAGGAGGTCATTAATGCTGGAGGGGACATGTTCCTGCTTCGCCCTCACCTTGGTCCCCCTGAGAACGGTGCCGTTTTGAGCCTCAGCTTGAACATCAGGGCTCCGCTGAACCCTAAATCTCACACAGAGATTCAAGTTGATTCCAGTGGCTCAGCTGACAGGTGGCAACCCGTCAACTTGAAATAATCATTTAAATAGT